TTATATGTATATGTATATATATAATAAAATATAAATAAAATATGTACGATACTTTTTCTCTCAAACAACAGTCTTTTATAAACGAGCTTGATTCGGTCTCTCACTTTCTCTCTCTTTTTATATTTATCAACCCCTTTCTCCTACCCTTTCAACCTATTCAATACTTTATCGTAAAATTATTGGATCTAAGTAAAATGTTTCTTTGTATTTTTAGTGACAATTAATTTTAAAATCTCACAACTCTGATAATATTAATTTGACGTTTAAAAGTTAACATAGAAAATAATAATTAAATGAAATAATTGTAATATTTATTTCATTCTATCAAAAGTTATAATCTCAACTTAAAAATGTGATATCAATAAAGAATTAAAAATCAAGGTACAAAATAGTTTGAAATTATTTGCAATAAAATACAATGAGAAAATAAGAAATTCAAAAATTTGTTTCATTGAAATACAAATGAAACTTTTTACATGATCCAATAATTATGAATTTCGGAGATACGAATTGGCCCTTAAACATAGAATGATTATAATTTAAAAAAGGACTACGAACCTTTTCGAATTAAACTATATGAATTATTTTATCTGATACGACGATTGATTTTCTATTTTTCTTTTCTTTCTTCTTTTTATTTTCGTTAAATAATACGATATTAGTCTCGACATCGGCAACAAGAGTATTTGTAATATTTTCTGTGACATAATCCACTTTTTACAGCCAAATCACATTCTGGATTTTGTTCCACGCATTCCGTTGATTCTAAAACTTCTAAAAAAAAAAAAAAAAAATAAAAAAAGAATAGAATTAAATTAATAAAATAATATAAATTAAATACACAATAAATCAAATTAATAAAATAATATAAAAAACAAATACACAACGAATCACATTTATTTTTCTAAATGGTATAAGAAATAAAGTATATAAAATATAAATAATTTATCAAAAATAATTGTTACATTAGGTGTAATATGAAAAATAATGTAAATATTTATATTGGAATATTATTACTTACTTTTTGGTGGTTTAGTTAATAACGTTATATTATTTTTACATGGTTCAACGTTGCATTGTTGTATTTTCATTGGTCTAGGAAATTGTTTGCAATCTGTACTACTAACACCTTCTAAAATGCAACGAACTAATCTTGTTTGAAAACCACTACCGCATGTAGCTGAACACTGAAACAAAAAATAAACAAAATTATATTATTTATATGTAAAAATGATTACAAGTATATATATACAAAAACAAAAATATAATTATAATATAATATATGTTGTATTTATTGTATTTATATATTTTATTATAATTTATATTAAATTATAATTAAATTACAAGACAATATATAAATATAATATATAAATTATAATAAAATATATAAAAATAAAATAAATACAATATATATTATATTATAATTAAATTACAAAATATATATTGTATTTATTTTATTTTTATGTATTTTGTTATATTATATTATATATATATATATATAATATGACTGTACATATTTGCATAGATATATATTATTATTATTATTTTAGACTCACAAGTTATTTAATATCGAACATACCTAATAATAATCTAATTACATAGGAATTATTATTAATGTTATTATAGCATATAATTATTTTATACCTTGGACCAATCGGAGGTATACCATTCAGCCGAACAAGGCGTTACCTCGCAAACCTGTTCGCTTCTTGGCTTCGTGCTATTACAATTTTTCATTTCTACCAGTGTATACTCTCCATCATTTTTTCTCGTTCTTTTCATGATGCATAACACGTCTCGATACTGTACACCAACTCCACAAGATACGGAACACTAAAAATAACAAATAATTATACTAACAATTATAAATAATAATAATGTATTGGTAAATGATTAATTAACAAGCATTAGATGAACTTAAATGTAACGATTAACAAAATGTTATTTAATGAAAAAAAAAAAAAAAAAAAGAAGATTAAATTTATTTGATATATTAATAATTTAAATTATATTTTTTTTAAATAATATATATTGTATTTAAATAAAAATTTATATTATGATAATATATAAATAAATATATTTATCTTCTAATTATAATTATTATATAATTTAATAAAATATTGCATGATTGGGTTTGCAAATAAATGGAAGGAGAATGATGGGGGAATAATAATTGAGAATGATTGATAAAATTATAAATAATTATACTAACGGAAGTCCATGGCCCGGTGAACCATTTAGCGTTTTCACAATTGGTTGCATTTCCGAAACATTGCCTTTCTGTTTCCGGTTTCTCTTTGGGATCGCAAAATAATTCACTTCCTTCTGAACATGCAACTCGTCTCTTTTCAATTCCTATACCACATTCTGTTGAACACTGTAATTCCGTACAAAATAAAATTATAATTTCAAGTGTTCCCCATGTATCCCGAAAGAGAATTATTATTTTGAATATAAAAAAAAAAAAAAAACAATGTCAAGTGTAAATATAAGTTTTACATTTATATTGTAAAATAATATAACATATCATTTATAATATATTATAAAATAATATAAAAATAATTTTATATTGGACTAATATTTAAAAAAATATTACATTTAATAATTAATTAATAAAAACAATATATAAAATATCTTGTATATTTATAATATATTGAAATAATATAAAAATAATTTTATATTGTATTAATATTTAAAAAAATAATAAATCTAATAATTAATAAAATAAAGTATAATCTAAAAATATATAATTTTTGAATATATGAAATATTATGTTATTTTTCAAATTAAAAAAAAAAAAAAAAAAAAAAAAGAAAAAATTATTTCTCTCACCGTAGGCGACCAATTAGAATACAACCAAGGTGCTCGTCTTTCGGAATTACTTTCGGAATTACTTTCGGAATTATTTTCGATTACATTATTATTAATCAAACACGGTGCATTGTAACATTCTTCTACAGGTAAAGGTTTGTCTGACAATGAACAATATTCACCAGAAGTTATACAGGTGACCGTACGTATTCTTATTCCTTTTCCACAAGTAGTTGAACACTAAATTATAAAATCACATAGAAATAATTCAATGAAAACATTTGAAAATCCTGAACGTTTCATTAAACGTTCTCTGAGTTAAACCTATCATTAATTAATATTAATTAAATCATTAATTTATTCGTCGTCCTTTTATACTTACTGGACCCCAACTACCAACATTCCATCTCGGATTTGACTGTGAATAAGTTTTGTCTGTTGATGGTGACACCAATACTGACAATGGTTGCATATGTCTCAGTTCAGGTGTATTCATAATTGGACATGCTGGTCTCGAACACAATTCTTCTGTTTTCAAATCAGGTGGATTAGTGCAAGCACCTGATGCAACGTGCATTGTCATTTTTGAATTTAATTCTTGAACACATTCAAGTTTTCTCGTTCGTTTACCAAGACCACAGGTTACTGAACATTCACTCCAGATTCCTGCTCTCCATCTGTGATATTAAATAATCAAATAATTAATTATAATTAATATTTTTAAATGGAATAATTTTTATTTTTAAATTTATGTTAATTTGACAATCTCTCTCAAATAAATATAATATAAAATAATTAAATGCAAATATAATAACTATTTTATATTATATTTATATTTGATTGTCAAATTAATATAATATATAATTTAATACATTTTAAAAATTAAATATTAAATATATAATATATATATTATAGTTTAATATATATAATTTAAAATACAATATAAATATATAAATATAATATAAAATAATTTGTATATAATTTAATCCATATATCAAATTTATATCACATTTTAATAATTTATTTTTACAAATTGATCATTGATTAAAATTCGTCAAAAATGTTTATCAAATATTTATGAAATAATTATACAAATTTGTATTTAATGATAAAATTTACCTGGCAGGACAAGGATGTTCATTGCATCGTATTACTGAAGGAGTATTTGGAGGTTTTTCAATATAACGACAACGTTTATTGTTTACTGCTATTTCTTCTTCTGTACCCTCACGAAAACATTTCCAATTTGACTTTTGAATGCCTAAGAGACATATAAAAAAGATTTTTCCTTAATTTATCTACTTGTTAAGATCAATTGTGTGTATATTTTTTATTTAGTATTATTAAGAATAGAAGCAACGTGTTAGACATATCAGACTTTCTTTCCTGTTTCCTTTTTCAAGTGTCACTTTACAAGACAATTGAATTTCCGGATACACAGATTACGAAAGTTGTAATTATCTTTTCTTTTTTCTTGTGGCTACCCACATCATGTCAATCTAAATTTAAGCAATTCATTCTTGACACCTTTTATTGACTGTTATTTACCAGTTTATTTGTTACGTATTTATATTACTTCTTTTTTAGATTAATATGATTGTTTAAATGTTTTATTATTTTGTTAAAATAATTATTTTTTTATAATATGATAATAAAAATCAATTATTTATATTATTTGATTATTTTGTATTATTTATTTTTTTTGTACGCCTAAAAGTAGGCAACATTTTGTACACTGTCGGTAATAGTAGGAAACGTGTCTGAGCACGTAGAAAGTGTTGCCTACTTTTAGGCGTATAGAAAAATAAAAAAAAATAATAAAAATGAAAATCTCGTCACTTTGATTTATGTTTAAAAATAAATTTCCATAATATTCGTTAGTTTTACATTGTAATAATTATTATTACATAATGATGAAAGTTTTAGAAATATTTTTACCTCCTTTATCATGACGATAAAAAAGTTAATGCAATTTATTTTACGATATCGAAATGAAAAACGGTTTTTCAAGAAGCCACTTAAAAGTAAAAAGTATATCGTAATTAAATAAAATTTAATAAGAGTTTCCATTACGAGAGAAAAAGTTAATAATAATTATAATAATAATTGGTTACAGTATTATAACATTTAGTCAAATTAAAATTTACTTCTCAATCCTTTCAAGAATACTTTTACCAAAGTTTAATATTGATGTTTTAAGTACTTTAATAATTATTTAATCAAGCTACGAACGTAATCAGAAACATTATTGTTTAATAAACATTTTAACAACATTTCTCAAGACACAAAAAATAAATTAATCAAAAAACAATAATCACTGATTAGAATTAATAAAAAAGAAAAACAAAAACTTATATGTATGAAGATTAATCTTGCGACAAATAATTGTACTTGAAGGTATACTCTTTTTATACGAATATGTATATGTATATGTATGTATATATGTGTGTGTGTGTGTGTGTTTAAATATATATCTTTCTTTTCTAATGTGCAATTATACCGAAACGAATGCGTCTCGATTCGCTTCCCACGCCTTTACTCGATGAACGTTAAACGAAAGCTGCAACGATAATGGTGACCTTTCATTATCCACATTTTTCTTAATTGCTTTAAGCAATAATATCGTGCAGCATTTCGTTATAAATAAAAATAAAAAAAAAATAAAAAAAAAAATATAAAGACGTGTAAGAAAAGAGTGCGTTACTACGAACTCTTAACACGTTTACACCGTTTCCTTTCAATTAACAATAAATATTTGTCTATAGAAATAATTATATTAATAATAAATGTTATTGTCAGTATAAATTACCTCCACCGCATTCTTTGGAACATGGCGTGTAACCAATTACTTTCCATACAAATTTCTTTCGTTTTTTTTTCTTCATTTTTGAATTAGGTTGATCACCAGCCATCACCGTGGTTGGTGGACGTTTCATTTCTTTCGTTTGCGATGAGTGTCTTGTATGCTCGTAATTAATACCAACTTGAGATGATTGTGGAAGAAAATCTGTTCTTCTAATGGTGGAACTGAATAATTAAAATTATGTCAAATTTATTCCTTTTACAATTATTCTAAACAGAACACAAAATTGAGTCAAGTTATATGCAGAAGTTAATTGATTTATTGTTCTGATCTCAATTATCGGATAGTACAATAAATAAATCTTTTGATTTTAAAATGCAACGTAAAATGCAGTCGTTCTATTTGTTGTTAATTAAAAAAAAAAAAGTCTAGAATTATGTTGGGAATGAAATGTTTTTTTATTTTTTTTTTTCATAATTTTTAAGGTTTCGTAAATATTTTTTTTTTATGTAAACTTGACCCAATTGTAAATTAGTAATTAATTATTTATTATTATTATTATTATTGTTGTTGAAACAAGCTTACGTTCTCGTCAAAGGATTATTTATGATTCGATGAGAACCACCGTCGGGAATTTCATTCCCTCTTTGATCATTGCTCGATACTGTAATCATATACGCAATTATGTATTAACCAGTCATTGATTAATGAGTCGAATCATTTCTATATACAGTTCTGTAAAGCTTTGCTTATGAAATTAGAATTTATTGATCATGTCCGATCTGTTAGATGTACAAAATATATATATATATGTATATATAACACACATACAGGGTGTATCAATTTATTTCTCACATTTTCATTATCTTTCATTTGATTTGATTAATTTTGATTTATTTATCCTACAACTGCTAATGCACTTAATTTGCAAATTAATGCAATTAATTTAATGTATTATTCATTTTGTACTACAACTGGTAATATACAATTTAATTTAATGTATTAATATTTATTAAAAATTAATTTAATAAAATATTTCATTAAAATATTCATTAGATCACATTTTACGAAATTATGAAAAATTACAAATCAAAAATTATTTTGACAAATATTAAAAAATAAAAATATCTTTTCAAATAAAACAAATCATTTTGTGTTAACCCTTTATTTATCCTATAACTAAAAATGCACAATTAATTTAATGTATTAATATTTATTAGATTACATTTTACGAAATTATCAAAATTACAAATCAAAAATTATTTTGATGAGTATTAAAAAAATCCTGAAAAAAAAAAAAATAAAAATATCTTTTCAAATAAAACAAATGATTTTGTGTTAACCTACTTTTGTGATATAATCTAACAACATTCCTTCGAACATTCTAAATAAAAAAAATATCGGAAATAGTTTGAGTGAAAAAAAAAAAAAAAAGGTTGACTGATACCACTCTCTGTATGTGTGTGTGTGTGTGTGTGGATTTGTGTATCGTATAAAAATAAAATTAAAAGAATCTATCAGTGATTCTCAAACTATTTAATTAAAAAACTTCAATTTTATTTTTCAAACAATATTATCATACTTTCTTACTTGGTTCAGAAATTGGTGGTATTAAAATTCTTTCTCCTACAACACCACCACCTCCACCACCACCACCACCACCTTTACCACCAACTTTTTCTCCTTCGTTAAGTGCTCCTTTAATTGGCAACATGTATTTGTAAAGAATACCTGGATTTACTTGTTGAAATAAGATCTATAATCAAAAGAATATAATAATTATAATTAAATATTAATAATTTTAATTATATATAAATACATAGAATTGTGCTTATAGAAATTTGTATATAATTATAAAGAATAGTTTGAACTATTAAACTATTATAGAATTTACTTCTAAACGTAGTGAATCATTCAATGGTCCAGTTGCCAAGATGCACTCCAAACGGTTACTATCTCCCCTTTGGTATGTTAATGTTGTACCAGCCGCTTTATAAGTGCCACTGGGACTATAAGACCAAGGCCCATTTAAAATGTAACTCCCATTGCTGTCCCTTAATGCTGTAAAATAATCATCGATACTTCCTTTCAACTTTTAATACAATATTTTCGATTATTATTATTTCATTTCATGTTAGATTAATTATTTATTCTTCATTGATAACAGAGGTTTATTCTGTTTTTTCTTTTTTTTCTTTTTGGGGAAGTATCTTTTATATTTTTTATGTGGATAAATATGTTTTTTTTTTTTTTTATTAATTAAATATACTTTTAAATGTATTTCGTATACTTAAAAAATTTAATTTTATTAATAAAATTTATTTAATAATGAAATTTAATTAATATTTTCTTGTGCATACGTAAAAGTATATATATATATATATATATATATATATATATATATAGGTATATTATTTAATTAAAATATTTATTTACGATTTGTAAAAATATATTAATGTTATTAAATATTCACAATGTATTCTATGTATTTTATGTAGGTAAAAAAATAAATGATTTATTTAATAATATTTAATTATTAATATATAAAATAATTTAATTAAAGCATTTTTATCTTACGATATATTATATAAAAATATATTATTATTATTAATAAACATTCAAAATGTATGCATTTTTAGATTTTATATATTTTATGTAGATGAAAAAGAAAATGTTTAATGCTGAGATTGAAAAGAAGAAAATAATAAAAGATATATAAAATATTACCTAAATAATTCGAACTGTAACGTAATTCAGAAATGTTGAGAGACATGGCACCCTTTGGAATAGTCGTTATTGAATAATGGCCCTTTGGTAGGATCGGTTCCATAAAGATACCTTCGAATGATCTGCAACCTTGTCCTCGTCCTCCACAAATACCACATGCATCCATCGTTGCACCTGAACCTATCACACCGTCGCAACCTACAGGCTAATTTTAAACCAAAAAGAAACGTTTATTGAATATAATCAAAAATTCATTCAAAAATTCATCAAAAATTATTTGCATCTAAAATATATATATATATATATATAATAAATATATGACGATTAATTTTAACAAAATAATTTACAATGTTAAAAATAAATTCAAAATAATTTCCAATTTATTTTTAACATTTTCAAATGTTATTCAAACGATTGTATTAGAAAACCAATATTTGTTTTTATTAATTATAATAATTAATTATATAAATATACAATTAATTACATAACAAAAATTATTATTATATATTATTATTTTATTAAATATTTATTTGGAATTATTAGTATTAATAAATATTTATTTATATTATATATAAATATAAAACTGTACTAAGAAGTAACTGTACTAAGAGAAACTGTGTAAAGAAGTTTTCACTTCAAAAATAATTTCAAATAACATTGATAATATTACAAAAATTCACAATAGATTATGGTACGAATATTTTTTGAGAATCACCGTATATATATATATATGTGTATATATGCAATATATAGAATCTATACAAACGAATGTATTATAGATAGTGAATATAGGGGGTTGGGGTGAGGGGGTTATATCATGTATGTGTTTACCTTGCATTGTCCAGCTACACAGAGCCAACGTTCCGTACGTTCCATAGAAATTCCTGTATTATGTCCACGAAGATTTGGACCGTCGCAGGGTGTGCCATCGATTACTGACGGTTCAAGCGTTGCATAAAAAGGTTCACCAACTGCACGACAATTCAGTGCACACGAGTTTGCTGCTGAGAGATTATAAAAGATACAAAGGTTATTACAATTTTTTTTTTTCAATTTTCTTTGTTACCTGTTTGCCCCTGTCCCCATTTTCAAACAAAATCAAAAATAGTTTCTTTTTTTTTACAATTTAACTTGTTAAATTATTATTTTATTTTGTTATTAATTTTTGATATTGAAATTTTGTTTTGTTTTGTTTTTTTTATTGTTAATTTTTGAAATATTTTATTATTAAATGAATTTTCGTTACCATCTAAAAATGGTATCCAATTGTAAACGTGTCCCATGTGATTTTTTCCATTATATTTGGCGCACTGTTCCGTTCGAAAATCCGTACCAAAATTTGGACATTCCTATAGAGAGAGAGAGAGAGAGAGAGAAAAAAAAGCCAAATGATGAAAAATAATATTTATTATTTTATTTATTTATTTATTTATTTGTTCAATGCAAAATTAGAATTCGAATTTTGTTTTAACTTAGACTCGATTAAATATCTATTGAACATTCATTTACTTTACCAAAAAAAAAAAAAAAAACTAAAAAACTAAAAAACTAAAGGTGAAGTGTGCAAGATACAACATTTTATATTTTATAACAGAGAAAGAATTAAATACTTTATGAGATACTAAATCACTTAACTGTACTAGTAAAGATTTAAATTCAAAACAATTTGTACATTAGACACGAATCATTGATGTACCATTATCATTCTATCTAATAAAACACAATTGATGGTTATGGGGGTGATCATGGTGACAGTCAACGTGTTAACGATTTATTATAAAATTCATTTCAAATGTCAATAGGTTTGTTTTATTATCATTATTATTTTCTCTTGAGTTAATCGAAAGAAAAGAATAGAAAATAAAATAAAATAAAGATAAAGATAAAGATAAAGATAAAGAAAGAACGAAAGAAAAGGGAAGAGAGAAAAAAAGGGCCCGATAGTTCTTATGAATTTTAAAGGGACGTCGAGACAGGACGACGTAAATCTCAGCATACCGTACGGTCCCTTTAATTGGCCATAGTGATGATTTGTTCTCGACTCGTGACTCGTTTCCCATAACACCCCCGTAACACCTTCACACATACTTTTGTATGGAAAACTTACATCATGAATTTCAAACTTTCCTTTCTATGGGAGATACATTTGTCTTTTCTTACACGTACGTGTATATATATGATAATAGTATATATAAATTACAATAAATAATAGTAATAATAATATTAATAATAATAATAATAATATGTATATACCTGTGTATTACACGTGTGATATCTCTTGTATGTACCGATGCATAAGGGCCTTAGGTTTTGTTTCGTATCATTTTCAGTGAGTAGGCTTCGTTTTCTTAATTCTTTTCTAAAATTATTATCAATAATTATTTATTTATTTATATAATGTTTATAAGTGAAACGAATATTTTAGAAATTACAAAAAAAAAAAAAAAATGACAAGGATTAAAATAAGCACGTTTTTGTATATATATATATATATAAATATATAATATAAATATAAATATAAATATATTATAATTACTTAGATTTATAAAATAAATATAATATTATTTAAATTTTATTTAATTTTATTTAATTATAATTAATTTTAATTATTATTATATTATAATTAGTTAAATATATTATAATATAAATATAAATATACAATATAATACATAATATAATATTTAATATATAATTAAATATATTTAATATTTAATTGCTAATTTTTAAAATATATTAAATTTTATATTAAGTATTAAATATATATATATATAAAATAATATATTTAAAATAATATAAATATATTTAATATTTAATATATAATATACATTAAATTTTAATATAAAAAAAAACTCCCTTTTATAGATAATAATTTTTAAAATATATATATATTATCACCCATAAAATTATAATATTAATATTAAAATATCTATATTAAAAAATTTCGAATATTATTCTACCAACTAATTAAATAAATAATCAATAAAAATCATGTATTACATGCAATAATAAAATGCACAAAATGTAATAATAATTTGTACGATATATCTATGATTTTCAAAAAAAAATTGTTTCCACAATTCCAATCGATTGATGATGGACTTACAATTTAAAAATAAAAATCACTCGAATGATCATGAAATACCACCATCAATATAAAAATCCCTAAGATTTTCGTGATGTTTTTTTTTTTTTTTTCTACGATATTATACAGAACAAGTTGAGAAACGATTAACCTCCTCCCCTTTTCTAATCCCCCGTTTCCCATGAATTACCATTGATCTGCCCTATGTATCTGTATCTGTGTATCTGTGTGTATCTTTGTGTGTATGTAAAATGCTCACGATCAACCGATTCGCGTAATCTAACGATTAGATCGGGTGAGAATGCAAAGCTTCTAAAGATAATGACGCGTTAGCACGAATACCGTTAGCTTTTCTCGCCGATTTCGATCGTAAGCATCTGTTCGAATCAGAAATGAATGAGGGGGAATATAGGAGAAAGGGGTGAACAC